ACCAAGGTTGTGGGTTCAATCTTAGGTCAGGGCACATACAAAGAAGCAACCGATGAGTGCATAAATAAGTGGAACAACCAATCGATGCTTCTCTGTCTCTCTCTCTATCTCTCTCAAATAAAATTAAAGAGCCTCGCCTGGAGAGGAAAAGGTGGGAAGAGGAAGACAAACTAGCAGCTTTCAAAGACGTGTGGGCAATAAACTGGAAGTGAAATCCTTAGGAGCCTGAAGGAGGGATAAGGAGCTGAAATTCCTGGGTAACTGCTTTCAGCTCAACTTATAACTTTTTAAAAGTCAGACCTGGGGGGCGGGGAGGGGAGATCAAATAGGAGTAGCCAATAGTAAGCTTCTGTCACTTAAGAAATTTAACCAGTGCGGGTATCACAGAAGAAATCCAAATACAGTGGGGCCTTGACTTACGACTGTTCCAACTAACGAGTTTTTTGAGGTACCAGCTGTCTCTCGGTCGATTTTTTGCATTGAGTTGACAGAGTAATTTGAGTTAACGAGCAAGGAGCTCGGTCTCCGAACGAATTAAACTCGTAAGTCAAGGCCCCACTGTATTTAATGGGAATGGAAGTCTGGGACCCAAACTGGCAGCTACAGATATGCCTGGTTTCGGTTGCACACAACGTTTTAATGAGTTGCCAATTTTTAAAAATTGTGTTAGTTGCCAGGGTTAAAAAAAATCAAGAGACTGACCACATGTGCACACACTGGAGTTTGTTTCGCTTCTCCAACATCCTCTACGCTAGGACTGTGCTCCTAAAACTCAAAACTCAGCAAAAATAAAAGTTTGCCTCTGTTTATGACATAGACACTTTCTTACACCTCCATTTACCTTACCTGATTACGCATTCAAATTCGCAACCCTTGGACCCAACCGAGGAATCAAGAGCCTGAGTTCAGAAAAGCCCAACTTGCCATCCTCGCTTCAAAATAACGTTCTCGTCACTCAGAAGGCTCAGTCCCACCGCACCTCCGGGCGAAGCCGGGACGGGCAGCCCGGCGCCCCCGCTCCCAGGTCCCCACACCCGGGTTCGGAGCGCTCCTGTCGGGGACTCAGGGGACTGACGTGGGAAATTAGGACCTTCCTGATCAGAAGACCCGGGCTGCCCGAGTCGGAGGGGAAGTAACTGGAGAAGGAGGGCGAGAACGAGAGTCAGTGACGCGGTGGGGAATGGAATGGAGGATCCCGAGACCCTCCGTGACCTTGGCCTTCGCCGCTGAGTTCGCCCCCTCCCGCCGGGCCTCTAAAACCAACGCCAAAGGACCCCGCGTTTCCCTCACCAGCACGGCTCACTTACCGCCGCTCAACTTCCGGCAACCCCGCAGCGTCGTCCGTAGAGCGCGCCCCGATGACGTAACGTGACCCCGCCCCCCCCGCTGGCTGTTCGGGGTGCGCATGCGCACAAAGGAGCCGCGGACCAGTCTGGAAAAGGAGCCCCTAGCACCGGATTGAGTGGGAGGAACCTGAGTCCTGGGGAAGGCGGAGCATCAGGTGGTGGCGAGGCCCCCTGGTGGGAGCTGACCTGGAGAGGCGTCACCTTATCCGATGTGGGAATGTGTATATGCCCCTCAGGCTTTTAAAAAAGTGCTCCACTGTTGTCTGTTGTTTTCAGAGGATGACAAGAAATATTTCTATTTTCTGGTAGAGGCAGTATCAAATGTATTCCAGGGACCATTAGGCGATAGGTGTGGAGAGACAGAAGATGGAAATTTTAATAGGTCGATGATACTCGATAATGACCCACCTGCTCTTTCTAAACCAGGCATTATTCTCATAGCTCTCCGTTTTCAATTGGATAGTTATTCATCTAAATTATTTATTGAGTGTATATTATGTGCCAAGGGGTGCAGAGATGTTGAAAATACAATAGTGAGTATAAACCTAATCTGATATATCAAGCCATTCACAAAGTGACTGTGATGTAGCTCTTTGGACTCATAATAATAAGAGTAATGACTACAGTTTGTTGATTATCTACCATGTTTACAGGTTTTCACATCTCTAATTGCCACAAAGACCCAACAAAGTAGGTGTTATATTGTTCCCATTTTACATAGGAAAGAATGGAGTGTAGTAAAAGTTAAGGGGCTTGCTGAAGTTAAAGAACTTCTGGCCCAGGATTCTAATCGAAGCCTGTTTCACTTAGTAAAGAGATACTTTATCCAAAAGGATTCTTATACAGAATGAGGGAGGAGAGGGAAGAGACTATTGCAACAAGGGAGGGAACTATTGCAATAGGAAATCACTCTGACCAAAAGATCTGCAAATGTCTCAAGAGTTAGGCAAAAAAGTTTCTTCAGTGGGGAAGAGTGAACAAGACTAGAAAAAAATAGGTGTGGAAAAGTGGGTAGAAAGTGTGGTTTGATCTAATAGTAGTAAATCAGGCTGTTTTACCTTGAGGCCAGCCAGTTCTCAGGAGGGGTTGTATGCAGTTACAGCCTGTGAGTGAGTCAACATTAAGGAGTCTGGGAGCTTAACTAAAGTTGGTTAACAGGCACTTTTTTGTTTGATCAGTGAAGACAAGTAGTTCAACTAATTATTTATAAGGCAAAGAATATAAATTCAAGACTGTGCCTGTCCTTGCCGCAGATAAAAAAGAAGATATCCATAAGTCTTACATAAGTTATGAGAATTGATGTTTCTTTGCAGTAAATCATTTCAGAAGCACAAAAGAGTGAGTGAGTGAGTGAGTGAGTGAGTGTGTGTGTGTGTGTGTGTTGGATTGGAGAGGATTTCTTAACCATTGCTGTTTTTTAACAGCATGGGACTCAAGTAAAATTCAATATTGTCAACTGGTTTCACTAACCAGCTTCCTCCCCTGCCACTGCCCCTCAGACAGCATGCTTGGGTCACACTAAATTAATTCTGGTGTTTTAAGCACACGCTGCTAGTTTATTTCTCCATCTGCAATACCCTCACACTTCCTCTGATAGTCTAACCCTTTCTCCAACTTCAAAATCCAGTTGAAATGTGGGTGAATCTTAGACAAAATGTTGACTGAAAAAGAGAACATATTATATGATTCCACTTAGGTAAGGTTATAGAATCAGCAAAACTAATCTCTAGTGATAGAAGTCAGCTCAGTAGTTGCCTGGGGCATAAAGGGGAGGCATTGTCTGCAAAGGGGCATGAGAATTTTCTAGAAATGTTCTTTCTATCTTGATTGAGATGGGGATGATGTGAGTGTCTGTGTTTGTCAAAATTCTACATTTAAATTGTGTGCATTTTACTGTGTATATTTAATGTAATAAATTAAAAAACAACACAGTAGGGATGTCAACTCCTATGTGCCTGGCAGCCATCACCTCTAGGCTTCACTCTATGAAGCTTATATGAGGGTAGGTTGAAGTTAATTCTTTAAAGCTGTTTCCCCGGCTGGACTTTGAGATCCTTGTAATTAATACCTTTTGGAGTTTCTGCCCAACTCATCATATTTCCTTCTCCTCTGAGAAGAGCTGGTCCTCCAGCCATGTTTGTGCCACCTGCTCCCCACCCCCACCCACCTCTCTTCAGAGTTGATTGCAGCTGAGGTGGACATGGGACAATTCTTTACCCTGAGCTTTGGACTTTTGTACTGATGCTCATAGGCAATAGGAATAAGAATAAATCATACAGGTCAATGGCATTATTCTAGAGGGAACTTCTGCTGTTGATGTTCCTGTGGCCGACTTGGCTCAAACTCTTTCTGAGGCAAAGTCATCCAAAATATTCCTGGATTCCACAAAACACCTCAGTAGCCATTCACAAAGCTGATTTCTGTCACTTGCAACCCTGTAGTAACTCCATATGGTTGAAATCATATCTGCTTTGTTCTCCATTGTATCCTAAAGCCTGGACCAAGAAGTGTTCAAGAAGTACTTGTATGTGTCCTCAAAGAAGCATTTAAAGGCATTTTCTATTTATCAAAAGCTATGGATGGTTTATTCTTCCTTCGAATAAATTCAACTTATGACTACATTAATGAAGACTATGTTCTTGAAGGTAGATTTCTCTTGAGTTTATTAATACCATGCTACCTGTTTTTTTCTCTTGTGTACCCCACGCCACTTTTTCTTTTATGTCTCCCTTCCCAGTCCTCAGTTTCTCTGTCTTCCCTGTCTCCATCTGTCTGCTCCTTATCTCCTCCATTTGCTCCTTAATCTCTCCCCTTCTCTGTCCTTCCACACATCCATCTCCCCGTCTCTTCCTCCTCTGTCCCTTGGTGTCCCTCATTCCTTCCTCTTGGTCTGTCCTCTCTGACCCTCTGCCTCCCCCACCTCCTCTAGTTTCCTCTCATTTCTACCCTCCACTTCCCCCTTCTCTTACCCTTAGTCTCCTCACCTCTACTTCTCCCCTCTCTGCAACTCAGGCTGTCCCTGTAGCAGCAAAGCACTGGGGACAGAGCATACTGAACCTTCCTCAATATGGCTATGAAGGAAAATGAGAATCAGTTACTGTACCTTCACAACAATTGTAGAAAAATGTTCTTAAAAGCCCTATACTATTTGCATTGTTATAAACCTTGTAGACAGTTAAAAAGAAACCAGCGTTTGGTAAATTTGGCAAATTGGCCATATGAAGTGTTGGCTTAAAGCTCATTAGCTTTAAGCCCATAAAAAGAAACCCAAAGGAGCTTCTTAATCAGAAAATTCTTATCAAAGTCTCTGTAACAGCCTTCTTCTAGAAGGTATTTATTTTAATATTTAGGGTGGCAGAAAGCCTGGTTTCGACTGGAGTTTGTGCAAGCCATCGGGCACTGATTCTTTGCTGAACGTGCTGAGGTGGAGTTATCTCATATGAATTTAGACCTTTCATTAATTCAAAAATTAATCCAATCATCCAGATAGGTGTAGGAATAGAAGGTTGGTACTGTGGAAAGGAAGCACATTCCAGAATCAGATCTTACAGCTGTCCCTTAACACCTCTGTACTTCCATTTACCTATTTGTGAAAACATGGAAATCTCCCTCATGAGACTGCTATGAAGATTAAATTATATAATGGTGGTAAAGCACAAAGCACATAGTATATTCTCAGTATATCTGAAAACTACATATGAGTACCCTCTGTGTACCAGCCACACTGCAAGCGTTATAAAAACAACAACAACAACAACAATAATACATGGACCTTGTTCTTTGTGGCTCTGACAATTTATACGGATCATTTCTTGATCTTGTCCAACTCAAATCCAGGTCCCTTTGACCCAAAGTCAGAGGTCAAAACCATTTCTCTTCACTAGTCGCCTTAACTGTTCATCAACATAAATAATGAGCATTTAGCCATTTGTCTGTATAGAGCAGTCTCTTTGGGTGGTCCTTGTTCCTGAGGGATCCCAGTGAAGGATGCATTCACAGGTCTTCCGAGAAACAGCTTCTAACCTGGAAACAGACCAGCTGCAGGTTCTAACACCAGGATAAAATCTCCTTAGCGCCCACAGTTTTGAGCCAGAAGAGCTTATGGGGATGTGCAAAGCAGAGTGAGCGTGAAGCTAGTTTGGAAAAGCAGGTCCTTTTCTAAAGACTTTTACAAATGTGATCATAAACCAAAGAGAACCCCTATATGAGCTCTTGTAAACTTTGACAGTACTTTCGATACATCTTCATTTAAGAGACTCAGAACAGTAGAATTAAATAAGTCAAACTTGTAGCAGTATAGTTTTAAATATCATATTTTAAGTAAGTAAAAAACACCAAACTCTCACTTTAACAGATCATGCAAACAGGAACACAAGACACAAAATGCCAGCTTGTACAGGCACTCCATTTGCTACGCATATTACAGTTTAGCATCGTCTTAAAATATAAGTCACCACCAGATTGTAACGTCAACATCAAGTAAATCTGTATGTTTCCATGCCTTTGCTAGTTTTTACTTGAGAGATGTGATTCTAAAAGAATATGACCACTTTAGGACAAACACAGCAAAACTCACAGATAAATAGCACACTGCCCCTTCAAAGTATCATCTTCAATGGCCACAGACATATTCTATGTTGGCTGTTCCTGCTCACAATGTATTCTTTTGAGAATTGCTACCACTCTCAGGAAGAGTGTGTGTGTGTGTGTGAGAGAGAGAGAGAGAGAGAGAGAGAGAGATTTGCTTTGGGGAGAAAATGTGTTATGATGAGCTGAAACCCCACAGGGTTTCATTCTAGCTGTCTCACATAACTAGTTATGTGATCTTGGGCAGCTTATTTCACCATGCTGCATCTCAGTTTGCTTCGCTCATTACACCACCCTCCTGTAGTGGGGTGTGATGGGGATTTAATTAGATAAACCTGGCATAACACCCAAGAAATACAGCTTTCTTTTCTCATTCCATTAAAAAAAATTTTTAAATGTGAAACCATTAAAAATTTATTTTTCTCTTTGTGGGCAGCTTTCATCATCATTAAAAAAAATAGCTAAAAGGAATTTGGGGTTGAAAACGATGGGTGTGCGAGCTGCATAATTTCCTATCAATTCTGAGACGTGTGAATGAGAAATAATAAGGCAGAATTTCTAGGGCAGTTCAGACATTAGTTCTGGAAAAAGCTGTAAAAGAGGCTCAGAAGAGAGGCATTCTGAGAGTGGCAGTCACAGTGGAATACCTGTTAGGCCTCTCAAGGTGACCCCAGGAAAGGGACAGCATTTATCTGCATGTGTGCACAGTCATATAGATCCATTCCAGGATGGCTCTAGAGTTCAAATCTCCAGTGGAACTCTACCCACGAGTCCTTTCAACTGCCCATTAACTCAAGTCTGGAAGCTTGAATTACAAGGAGAGTCTGAGGCTCCCACATTTCCTGAGGAGCAGGAATACTCATCCAGATTCAGTTCTCTTGGAAATATTCTGCTTTGTACTCAAAGTACATTCTCTGCTGACCACTGCCATCTGCAGTTCTTCCAATGGTGCCTAAGAACTTTCCAAATGACCCAGCCTTTAATACTATTCTTTTGACTCCAGAAAACCCAGGTACTTGGCAACCCACAGGCCTTCACCATCCATTTTCTTCAGGGACATCGTAAGTGTCACTTTGTTACATCCCCTTATAGCCCCTCTTAGGAGCGAATGTGCAGAATTCTCTTGAATGTCTTCTTGAAGTTCTCATTGCACAAAGGGTAGATGAGGGGGTTCAGTGTGGAGTTGATGTAGCCCAGCCAGATAGTGAACATGTGCACATGTTCGTTGCAACAGCTCTTGCAGAAGGCAATGACCATGAAGAAGATGAAGTAAGGACTCCAGCAAAGAATGAAGGCCGCCATGATAAAACCCAATTGTTTGGCAGCCTTCCGTTCTCGGGTCAGTTGCAACCCAGACATATACTGCCTTGAATGAGAGCGGAGCCTCTTCCAAGTGAACTTGATATAATCAAGGCCTGTGCTAGACTCACTTCTCGGTTTGCCTTTCCCTGACGCTGACTCTGTGGGGATGTCTGAGTCTGCTGGACAGAAGGACTGGCTATCACCTAGGGTCTGATCCTCTGACATCTCACTGGCCCCGTGTACGGTCAGGCTCTGCTCATCTATCTCAAGCTGGCTCTGGCTCTGGTTGATGGCTATGTAGTCCTTGCCACTCCCCTCTGCCTCAGTCTGTGTTTGCACAATATTAAGCGGGAAGCAGTGAAGTTTGTCCACTTCTTCATCCTCCTCTTGGCTGTAGACACCTGAGGATTTCATCTCATTTGGATCTTGGGATGGTGACTTCGAGACAGGTCCACCACTAGCAACTTTCTGTTTCCTTTTCAGAGCCTCCCAGAGAGACGTCTTCCCTGGTTTCATGGCCCCTATCTTGGGGTTCTCTGGCTTCAGCTTAATTTCAGAGAAGGAAGGGAGGGACCCATTCATGAGCTCCCGGTGCTGACAGTGCTGCCGTACAGCCTTGTAGATGTTGGCATAGAACCAGAGCATGAGCAAGGTAGGCAGGTAGAAGTTGATGATAGCAGTCATGATCTTGAACCAGGTGACATCGTAGAAGTCTGTCTCACATTTGTCTTCTCGGTGCCCTGAGTTGTACGGCATAAAGTGAGGCCAGCCCAGAATGGGAATAATCCAGAGGAAGGAGAGAAACCAGGCTCCCAAGATGGTGGCCAATGCTCGGGTCTTGGTGCGATACCTCAGGTATTTGAGGGGCTGCTGGACAGAGCGGTAGCGATCAATGCACAAGATGAAGACACTGAAAATGGAGGCTGTGCTGGCCACGTAGTCCATGGAAAGCCAAAAGAGGCAGAGAGGCCTGCCCAGAGACCACTTGGACATGAAGAGGTAGATGATGTTCATTGGCATGACAACAGCTCCCACAATCAGGTCTGCCACTGAGAGGCTAATGATGTACAGGTTCCCCACAGTGTGTAGCTTCCGCTCGCTCCGCACAGCACACAGGACCAGCAGGTTGAGCCCCACTGTGACCAAGGAGATGGTGCTCAGGACTACCACCAGGGGCATCAGTTGGTTGTTGGCCATGGTGGTCTTGTTCCCTTCACACATCTTATCTTCTAAGATGCTGGAGGAATTGGGAGAGTCATTGGCAAAAGAGCAACCTCCAGCTATGGCTCACTCCCTGGGAGGAAAGACACAAGGTTAAGGTTAGATTCTTGGTGATCAATAGTCACTTAGTACCATTCATCACATTGATCAAACTGGGGTTGTATGTGGTCAGGGGTAGTAGACACGGCTGGTTTCCTACAGTCTATACCCCCTCCTTCCTTAGTCATTCCTTCCTGCCTTCCTTCATTTAATGACTATTTATTGAATACCTGGCATTGGTCCTGGCATATAGCAGTGAACAAAACAAAAATCTCTGCCTTCAAAAATCTCTCCTTCATTCTAGTGAGGGAGTTGGGCAAAAACAAGGTGAAGTTTGTATGAGTCCCATGTTGCATGTGTTCTGGGAAGGCAGACTGCATTATGATTAGTCCAAGCTGAATATCGTGCTCTAGCTCCTCATTGCCAGTGACTGGTCCAGGGGTTGGCATGAGACACAACTGTGACCAAGGAAGTAGATGGGAAAGTCTCTTGACAAAGGTGGGGTTCCGGAGAGTGCGTCCTCTCTGGAAAATGAGCAAAACAAGGAAAATCATTGTTTCCCACTTGCTGCCTTCTTCCTAACAGGAAGTGATGCTTGGGGCTATGGAGATCATCTCGGGGCCACCAGGGAAATGCTAAGAAAACCACTGAGACGCCACCCAGGAAGTCCTATTATCACTGAGTTGTTGAACAGAACCTGGAATCTTCTTCCTCCATACTGGTTATCATGGGAAATAATTAAACATCTTCTTTGCTTAAGTAACTATTATGGGAGTTTTTACTAGCAACTAAAAGGCTAATGATGTTCAGGTTCTTGGGGGAGGTTGTAAGGGCACACAAAGCGTGGGATAAATTGAGCCCATCTCCTTGGATGAATGGTTCTCAAATTGGGAGAGGGTTATTATTTGAGAAAGCATATTTCTTACCATTTTACTTTTATATTTTATCACATAAAACTAGGCATGCATTGCTAGTTTATGCTGAGAACAGGCTGTATGTTGTTATTGGTGATCCTCAGGTGGGGTGGGAAGTAGAAATAGGTATGAAAACTTCTAGATTTTTATATTCATAAAAAAGTGACATGAGTTTAAAGAAAACTGAGAAACACTAACAGAGATCATAAATCTCTCAATAATTTAGAAAAAAACACTAGTTTTTCATTAAGGCAAAATTAGATAAATTCCTGAGGATAAGGCCAAATTCATATTTTTTTTTAAATATATTTTATTGATTTTTTACAGAGAGGAAAGGAGAGAGATAGAGATAGTTAGAAACATCGATGAGGGAGAAACATCGATCAGCTGCCTCCTGCACATCCCACACTGGGGAAGTGCGCGCAACCCAGGTACATGCCCTTGACCGGAATCGAACCCGGGACCCTTTAGTCCGCAGGCCGACGCTCTATCCACTGAGCCAAACCGGTTTCGGCCAAATTCATATTTTTTAAAGATTAAAATCAAGACCCCAAGGCATTTGGTCCTGGAGGAAGGAACCCATTGAGTTACTTTGTTGGAAAAGCACCACTTGGGAGGCACTGATTTTGCCCCAGCTCTGCTGCTAATTTTCTGAGTGATGTCTCAGCCTACTTTTTCTCATTGGTCAAATGTAGAAAGATGGGGTAGGTCTCCTTTTTAGCGTCTTGCTTTAGGTATTTTTCCATGTTCTTTCCTGAGTGTGCCTCCTCTGACCTCTTCAACAGCATCACCTTCTCCTCCTGGGACTCAGTCCTGCCCTCTGCTCCTGTGACTCTATGCTGCCAGCCTCAGAAGCCTTATCCACGCAGCCCCGTTCACCCCCGCCATCACCTCTTTGTGGACAACTCCCAGATCACAGCTTCAGCCTGTATCTTTCTCCACTCCTACATACAATACTCAATCAATATACTGGAGCTTCAACTTCAGCTCTGACCATGTCAAAACCCCTTGGCATTGTCCACAGTCACCTCAGGAAGGAGGAAAGCAGGCTAAGGCAGTGTCATCTCAGGGGTTTTATTGTTTTGATTGGAAGGAAGCAGGAAGCTTCCTAAAACACTGCCATAACTTTGCATTCCCAAGACAGCATACCCTCCTACCGAAGTGACTCATTTCTCCCTTTTCCTTATTGCCTTGAGGAAATTTCTCTCTTTCTCATTTGTCTCTTTGACTCATTGCACACAGAGGGGAATCAGTGTGTTTTTGGTTTGTTGTTTTGTTGTTGTTGTTTTTGCACTGTGCATAAACTATCATTCCATAATTATATTTAACAGAAAATGATTTGTTTCTATATAAAAATATGTATTTTTTCCTTTTTTGCTTAAAAGAGAAAAGGTGTTATGGTTGAATTGAGATCACTGAACTAAAAATTAGTGTTTTATATTAAGTGTTTGGTTTGGGGTGAAATCTACTAATGTCTGCAACTTTGAAATTAATCAAAGAATACGTTGGATGGATAAGTGGTTAAAAGGATGGATGAACAAACAGATATGTTAAGCAAAAAGAGCAAAATGTTAATTTACAACCTTGGCAGTGGGTATATAGGTGTTCACTGTATAATGCTTCCAACTTTTCTATTTCACTGATAATTTTCATAATAAAATGTTGGAAAAAATTAATACAGCATAAGTTTATCTTCCTCACCTATCACCATAAGCTCAACTCTTTTATTTTTTTAATCCTCACCTGCAGATATTTTTTCCATTGACTTTTTAGGGAGAGAGGGAGGAAAGGCGGGAGGGAGAGAGGAAGGGCGGGCAGGCAAGGAGAGAGAAAGAGAGAGACACATCAATTAGTTGCCTCCCGCACACACCCTGACCAGGGCAGGGATCAAACCTGCAACCAAGGCATGTGCCCTTGACAGGGAATTGAACTCATGACCTTTCAGTCCATGAGCTGATGCTCTAACAACTGAGCAAAACTGGACAGGGCATAAGCTCGATCTCTATCATGTTTTCTCCTTTATAGCTTGGACATGTTATTTTGCATAAACATAAAAGTAAAAGATCAATAAATATCTGTTGATTGAATAAATAGTGAATGAGAAGCAGGATGATCTGAAATATCTCAGTTCAGAATCCAACAGATATTTACGGGTGAAAGTTTTCTTTGAGCTCAGTGATCTGTTTCAGGACCAGGCAAATCCACTTTTGTCCTAAACCACGGGATTCTGAAGGAAGATTCCTGGAAAGGCAATTGCAGTTCCCACACTGCATCACAGGGCATTTGGGGCTAACCCTCCTGAGGAATGCTGAGGGGGGTGTCAGGGGAGGAGGAGGAACTTTGAGGGAACATGTGACCCCAGCACCGAGCCTGAAAAAGCAGGCCCCACAGGGCAGGCAGCCAAGAGGACAGTAAGAGTGGCCACATCAGGACCCGCTGAGTAATATGCAGGGCCCAGTGCAAATTAAAAATTAAAATACTATTAAGAATTTTAAGACAGAGACAGCAGAACATTAAGCCAAACTTAGGAATCCTGTACTCAGGGCCTGCCCGGGTCACAGGCCGATCAAGTCATTTTTAGTCTCTCTTCCTCTCACCCAATCCCTGAACAGACCCTACTCAGTGAGGTAACTAACGTTATGGCATTCTGGCATGGTGTGGGAGGTATTTGGGGACACTGAGCCTCATCTCACCTCATGCCACCAAGAGGCCACACTCCCCTCGGGCTGTCTGGACCCCACTGGGTTCTGAGGTGCTCTTCTGGGGTCAAGGCCAAACCTTCAGCAGTGGTGCTGGTTGGCAAGAGGACATGCTCTGAGGGGAGAAATGGAAGCTAGAGGAGGCACTTTGGACAGGACATTTTGAGAAGAAAGGTGAGAGCCTGTAGGAGCGTTCTTTATAGCGGTGTGTCCATAGTGAGGCAGGTGATGGAAGGAGAGTGCTCTCTCCCCTCTCGCCCAGGCTCTGCCTCTTGATGGGCTGTGTGGAGCCTGAGTAAACAGCCAGGCCTCCAATTCCTCTGCTATATTGGAGGGAAAAGTATGAACCTGCCTGGGCTGCTGAAGATCACTGGAGACACGAGGGTGGGAAAGCTCTGCTAACCCCTAGGTGACTTGGACTTGGTGACAAGCAGAAATGGATCCTTTTTCTCTCAGAGACTTCTGCATACAAGCAAGGCAATTGGTTCATTCCAAAACCATTAGCTCCAGTGGGACTTTTACTAGAGTGATCACCAACAACAAACAGTCTAATCCAGCCGTGGGCAAACTACAGCCCGCCGTTTGAAATGAATAAAACTAAAAAAAAAAAAAAAAAAAAGACCGTACCCTTTTATGTAATGATGTTTACTTTGAATTTATATTAGTTCACACAAACACTCCATCCATGCTTTTGTTCCGGCCCTCCGGTCCAGTTTAAGAACCCATTGTGGCCCTCGAGTCAAAAAGTTTGCCCACCCCTGGAATCCAATCAGGTCCCATTTCATCAATGCTGGTCCACAGGTGGCTTGGAACTCATTTGGGTGGTAGGCCAGGGCAGCAGCTAAGCACCAGGTGCTTTATAAACCAGTGAACCTCTGCTCTAATCCTCTTTCTGCTCCACGTAGCAGATATTGGGGCAGAAAGGTATTTAGCAGGTCAAGATATTTCACTTCATCAAGACTCAGTTTTCCTCACCTTTATCCTATTGATGAATATTAACATCTTTCAGCTAACTTTCCTATTTTTTTTTCCTGGAAATTTGATTATTTTTTTCATGGTAATCCAAAACATGAATATGTATTTAAGCATAAAGATGCTCACTGCAACATTATTGATGATAAGACATAATCTAACATTTGGGAACTAAGTATATTATGGGACAGCTTCAGAATAGAATATTATGTAGTCATTGATAATCACATTTGTGGAGCTCCAATAACGATATGGGAAAATGCGTATGATGAGATTAAATTTATAACAGACATTATTTGTACAGGATAATGTCAGTTATATTAACTAACAGGATTAGAGCAAGGGTGAATCCCTGTTATGTTACGTTAACACTGGCCTCCTTTAGGTAATGATGTTTATTGTATTTGGTACTTCCCAAGATTTTAACAATGAGAACATCTTGGTTTTAT